CCCCCCCCCCCGGGGGTAGCACTCCAGTTATGACACCTAGTTCACTTCTTATTCATCGACTACGACACTGCGGACTGCGGTAGCACTCCAATTTTTTCACTTGGTTCATTTCTTATTCGTTTCATCGACTACGGGACTGCGGACTGCGGTAGCAATTCAGTTCAACACTTAATTTATTTCTTATTCATCGACTACGGGACTGCGGACTGCGGTAGCACTTCAGTTCAACACTTAACTATGATTTCTTATTCGTTTCATCGACTACGGGACTGCGGACTGCGGTAGCACTTCAGTTCAACACTTAATTAATTTCCCGCTCATCGACTACGGGACTGCGGAGCACGGACCACGGAAGCAGTAGATTTAAGGCAGGCGTGTGTGGCCGGGTATTCTGAAGTTGCTCCCCGAGATGAAGTTGGGCACATTTATTTTCTTAAAATCAGATGCAATGATCTTTCCGGGCCGCTTTTCCGTGAACATTTGTCAATAGTTTTGGCACAAAAGAACCATATTAAAGCTGATATATTCTTCAAAACTTGTCAGACATAAAACAAGAGTACGGATATGATTGCATCTTTCGTATGCAGAGCTACAAAGCTAGTGTAGCAAGCAGAAAAAGGGGTATAAGATGTGGATCTCGCGAAACGCGACAAACGGTCGCGAAGCGCGAAAGAGGTGCGCGAGCGAGAAGTTCGGGCGAGACGCGCCATCGCGGAACGCGCAGGGTACCTTTGGCAAACCTTTGGCCTGCGTCACAGGCATCTTCGACCACGTCTTTGGCAAACCTTTGACTTGAATCGCAGACAAATTTGATTACATTTTTGACCCACCTTTGACAGTGCGCAAAGGTGTATCAAAGGATCACCTTTAACCCTAAAACAAAGGCGTTCACAGGTGAGTAAAAACGGCCTTTCACGCCTTTGATTTTGGTGGCAAAGGTTTATTCAAAGATGATCTTTGATTCGCCTCAAAGATCGTCAAAAGCGTGCAAATGTGGCCTTTACAAACCTTTAACCACACATTTGACGCGCCGTAAAGGCGATTTTTCGTGCAGTGCATCTTCCGAAATCAAACATCTAAACTCCCCAAAGCTAAATAAAAATATCATTCCATGTTTCTGATGTTTTAAAACTCCCAATTATTTCTCTTGATTAAGAGAATTAATTATTAAGGAGATACGTCTTACTGACAATTTCTATACCTTTATAGGTGGCTGTGCTAAGGTTTTTCTTGCCTGGCGCTGTAACACCGAGTCCGTGGCCTAAGAAAGCTGCTTCCCACGGTTCGTTTATTGTAATCCACCACTTGACTCGATCACCAAACGTTTCAAAGCAAAACTTGGCGTAGTCGTTGAAAACGTCGGCTATTTCTGGGTTCAACCAGCCATCGTACCTGTCTTGCAGAGCCTGGGGTAAATCGAAGTGGTACAAAGCGACCATTGGAGTAATTCCGCTTTCAAGAAGCGAGTTGATCAAGTCGTTGTAATACTTCACTCCCGCGGAATTCACCTTCTCTAGCGTTCCCTCCGGTAAAATTCTAGACCACGAGATTGAAAACCTGTAATATCCAACCCCGAGGTTGTTCAGAAGCTTCACGTCTTCGTCCGTTTTGTGGTAGCTATCGCAAGCTATGTCGCCTGTTTGGTTCAAGAAAGAATTGCCACCTGCGTGAGTGAATTTATCCCAGCTGCCAAGTCCCTTACCGTCCGCATCCCATCCACCTTCCACTTGGTAAGCTGAGGTCGACGTTCCCCACATGAAATCTTCGGGAAATTCGCCATAGAAAAACTCATCCTTCCGTTCTGCCATGCCCTCCGAAATTAAAACGAAGAAAAAACTAACCAGAAATGATATTATCATATCGCGTGACTTGTTCCAGTTTCTCAGCTTCTGAATTCTCACGTAAGCGTTATGCTTGAGCGTTAGGCTCGATTACAAGCCGCTGTTCAGGAAAGGAGCCCGCGCTCCTCCCCACAGAGGACGGGCTTGATAGGACGTGAGACGCGAATTTATGAATGTAAAGGACGGTGCCTACTTAATACAAAGGTTTTTGCGCCAGGTTACGACCACGCGGAAAACGTAGATCTTTGTAAGGGCTATTGGCATCCACAAGGAAAAATTGGGGTAGCCATGCATTTTTTTCGAGATAATTAGCCTTGAATCTCATCAAAAATGCTGACATCAGCATTTTTCTGAAAAAAGAAGGAAAGGATATTTCTTCACAGATTTCCTTAGAATTCGCCTTTATATACAGAAAAGCAAACACATTTATAAAGATCTTAAAACTACGTGGTAAATGGTAACATAAAAACCATTTTTGGTATGTTTTTAATAACAAACTCGTTGCCACAGCGTTTTTAGCGTCTCTGACAGCCTTCCCCTGGTTCAGCTAAAATACGGTCTAAATACCTTTTGCTCACAACCAGAAACTAATCACGTGTTGAATAGGCTTGCCACTTCCATTTCATAACATAAAATGTAGGGGTAACCACGCGTTTTTCAAAGTTATTGATCTCTTTTGAAAACTTTTACGGTGCCCGTAACATTTTTTCCTGTCACCTCCCTAGTAAGTAAAACAATTGCGTATCTCATACTTGTTTCGCGCGCGCACTACGTACACGCCATGTGCAGGTACATGTTTACAATTGGATTTCATTATAATTTTCGACAGATAACGGCTAGTTTTTCAGCTGGAAGACATTAACAGTTAGTGGTTAGCGATACGCTGCTAGTCTGGTATGCCTGGTTTAAGTACAGGTTCATTAAACTTGATTTGGTCACAGTAAGAAAACTTTGCTTTCACACAGTTGCTGTTGTCGTAGAAAAATTTGATATGTAGACCATCAAGTGTAACTCTTACCCCATTTTTTTTCGCATATATATGGAGGTTGCGTGACTCGCAACAAAACAGGAAGCAGTATCGTCACCAGACCATACGAATAAGCTGCCGGCAAGGTCCACCATGAACTTGCAGAAAAAAAGAACGAAACCAGTTAGCCTGCGTAGCAAGCGTTTCCGTGGGGTTTGGAAGCAAAGAAAGACCGAGGAACGGGATTTTCGGTGTTTTGTCTGCGCGGAATATGGGGCGAGAACCAAAAAAAAGAAGGAGAGGGGTGGGAGAGGGTTACTCACTCCATTTTTCGCGCTGTGATATTCTTTGCTCCCAGAAACGCTTGCTACGCAGGCTAGAAACCAGTGTGCGGACATTCTCGTCCCCATAGCCCTTTTCGTTTCTCTTAGCCCGCGGGGCCTTGGCACCAGAATCGTTTTTTTCGTGCCAAGGCCTCGCCGGCTAAGAGGAGCGAAAAGGGCTATGGGGACGAGAATGGTGTGCTGACCGAGCACGCTACGTAGTCTAATGAAGTATTTATAATAATGGCTCTTTTTGCTATGAAAGGGAACCAATCAGATTTTTCAGTTAATTGAAATAAATATCTGCTAATTTGGAAAAACATATAAACAATAACTTCACGCTAACTTCGCATCAGGGCGCGAAATCTGCCATTCGTCCCCATTCCTTTACTCGCTCTTCTAATGACTATTGTTCTCCGTCGCTGGGAAAGATCGAATGATTTCCATCACAATCATCAAATTTTCATTTTTATTACAACTACACGCAGTATTTCCTAAAACTGGGGCCAAAATGTCGGTAAGTAACCACTTAACGTTTTCTGCTCTTCCGATTTTTCTTCTCAATTGTGCAAGACAATTGAATTCTTAATGAATTTTACGCTACGACCTTACCAGTAATCTCAATAAATCTGTCACCAGTAATTAAAGTTAATTACCCTAGTTTTTTAAAAAATCACTGTAAAATGACCTTTTCTTTGTATTGTCTTCTTAGACAACGACTGCTGAAACAGAAAAAGGTTTTATTCAAGGAAAATTCCCTGAGGATTTTATTTGGGGAGCAGCTACTGCAGCATATCAAATTGAGGGTGCCTGGGACGAAGATGGAAAAGGTCCAAGCGTTTGGGACACGTTCTGCCATGTCGGAGGGAAAATACACAACAATGATACGGGCGATGTAGCTTGCGACAGCTACCACAAAACGGAGGAGGATGTTTCACTCCTAAAAGACCTTGGTGTTGGTTATTATCGATTTTCCATTTCATGGTCCAGAGTATTACCCCAGGGAACAATAGATAAAGTGAACCCCCTGGGAGTCGATTATTACAACAAATTGATTGACACACTGCTAGCCAATGGGATCAAGCCTGCTGTGACGCTGTATCATTTTGACTTGCCACAGGCTTTGCAAGATGTGGGTGGTTGGCACAATCCTAAAATATCCGACATTTTCAATGACTATGCACAGTTCTGTTTTAAAGAGTTTGGAGATAGGGTCAGAATCTGGTTGACAATAAATGAACCTCATGAGGAGGCACTAGATGCATATGGTCTTGGTTCTTTTGCTCCTGGACTGAAAAACATGGCAACAGGTCCATACCTGGGTATGCATTTCTTTCTTTCTTTAACTTTATTTATACACGTGTAAAACATCAGGACTTAAAGTAAATACTAAAATTGCATTAGTTACATTGTTAAGATACTAATCTACTACTAATTAAATCTAATAAGATTTTAATTTCAGATTTCACAATTGAAATAAGAAAATAATAAATTTCAACAACATAGCCTGCAGCAGGTATAAAGTGGGGCTTAAGAGTGAGAGATAGGTGATGCGGGGTGAGGGGTTCCATTACCATGATCGAGTGGTGCAAACCTGAACATTATTCAGACAAACAGGACTGCTTTTCTTTTTAGCCAGAGTACTCTTCAGGTTCATCTCCTACTTCTCATCTCTCACCCCCATTTTAGACCTGCCCATCTGGTCTTTTCAATGCAACGCAATTTTTCATATCTGGCACAACTAAAAAGATGTATGTACAAATTAGTATGGAGAATTTTAGTATCTTTCCAGCTTGGCACCCAAGTGGTTAGGTGCTTAGTAGTGGAGCTCCTGGAAGCCGAATGCATGCAAGCAGAACCCCATACCCTTGAAAATTTGGTAACCCATCAATCTAAAATCATGTGACTGTCCATATGTATGTCCATGTGCCACCTGCACTGTGCATGCATGAGGTCAGTCCGATACCTTGAGAAATAAGAGAGTAGCACCATTACCATAGGTACATCTTTGATATTGAACATCCATGTGAGGTCAATTAACAGCTGTCAAAGCAAGGTATCTGCTGACCAGTATCACATGACCGTATCATGGGCTTAGGTTTAGAACTCATCGATGTTGGGTGCCTTTTTAAAGTTGACTGCCGCCCAGATGCTGGTTTTCGATTGGATCGTGGGCTCAAGCTAGGTTATAGGGGTATAGAGGGGGCTGCAATGACTTGAAGGCTTGTACAGTAACTCATTTTCCTTTTAATTACTGCAGATATCAACAACTTGTAGTGCACTGTAGCTCATTGTGCTACTTGAGTTTTGGATACTCTTTTTTTGTATGTTATTTATATGCGGGTGTAGCGGGGAGGGTGTGAGAGGGGGCAATGACAGAGACTTCTTTATATTCTTCAATAAAGTTATACCTTGGATGAAATAATACTTGTTAAGCTTTTATTCATGAGAAATCATACTCTCAGTGAGATGTCTGGATAGAGCTGAAATAAGAAGGACATCTGATTGGTGTACTGCTAGTCATAACTTTGACTGACCAGCAGGGACTCAGATTTTAAAGTTACATTTCCCTCAAGATTTTTTGACTTCGTGAAAACATGAACCAATGGCCTTTCAGAGAAAATTAAAGTAGTCTTGATTACCAGCACCGTTCTGTAGTTTGTCCTTCAATGTGAACTCTTTCAATCCTTTATGCTTCTGGTCCTGCCCATGCAAATTTTTTGCCAAGATCTTGCCAAAAATTTTGCACAGGTGGACATTAACAAGATGATGGTTTAATTGCATGACCGTGAAATTATGACAAAAATTCTTGATTTTTTTTTTAACAGATTATCCTACCTTGTCTTGAAGGAAATAATTCCTATGTTAAACTGATTTACATAAATTTCTATGTTTTAATGCAGCTGGTCACAACATGTTGTTGGCTCATGCAAAAGCATGGCACACTTATGACAAGGAATTCAGAAGAAACCAGCAGGGTAGGGTGAGTATTGTGGTTAATGCACAGTGGTTTGAGCCCAAGACTGACAGAGAAGAAGATATCAAAGCAGCTGATCGTGGCATGCAGTGGTTCTTGGGGTGGATGGCACATCCTGTGTTTGTCAATGGTGACTATCCTCAGGTCATGAAAACACGTATCATGGAGAAAAGCAAAGCACAAGGACTGCCTTCCAGGTTTGATATTATATAATTCAGTAAAGTAAAGAAATACAGACCACTCAATCAAGGGTCCAGTGCATTAACCCCCTCCTCCAAATACCAAGCATGAAAAAAATATTGATTGTTAATGTAGCCCCCAAAATTCTTCTTAAAGCAAAATTTTACACTATTAGAGACAGATAACATGAGCCAGGCTGTTTCATTTTAATAACCTGGCTTGATTTTTCAAGATTACTTTTATCAGTTTACGCCCTAAAATTGATCACCTTTTGCACCTCTCATTCACTTTTCCCTTCACATATGGCACTCTGATTTTCATCCTACTACATGACAATAAGGTAGTAAATGCAGGATATAAAATTGAAAAATTTCTAGCCATTTAAGTCCAGTACGATTAACAGTAAGAGTTGTCAGTCTGTGCTCATTGGGATTGATAATACAAATGAACAAAGTGAGTGTCACATACTCCTGAATTATTTTTACCATCATTAACCAAATTTCTGTATATTGATTGCAGGCTTCCATCTTTCAGTGAAGAACAAAAAAAATTGCTCAAAGGCACTGCTGACTTTTTAGCTCTCAATTTCTATTCAGTGTCATTTGCTGAACACCATGATTTGTCATATGAGGAAAATGTGACATGGGGCTACTTTACAGATCAGGAGATGAAGGCATCTAGAGATCCCAGCTGGCTGAAAGGTTAGTATAGTGCATAACAGGAAGTAACCAACCCAGTTTTTTGTCCCCAGTAGAAAAGTGAAAGCGTGCTTTCCATTCGTTGAAAAATTCTGGTTTAAATTTCTAGAAGTTTCAGTGATGAATGGAACAGTGTTTTCCAGAATTTCTGGAAAAGCAGACAACCTTGTGAGGTATACTGAAATTTTTTGGAATTTCTTATCCATTTGACTTTCTTCCCACAATTTCTGGAATTTTCTGTTGATTGAGGTTTGCTTATTCCGAAATTCAACATTTTCCAAATTTTCTGGAAACTTTACTAGGAAATTTCTGTACCATTTGTCCCCATTTCAAAACTTTTGGAATATTTTGTTAATGGAAATTGCCCAATGTGAGGGGACAGGTTATTGGCATTATTTAGCACAATTTACAGTTAGACTTTTAGGAGTGTTAGAACTAGTGTAAAAACAACTATCAAAGAAGAAATGTCTCCTTACATTGTCAAGAAATGGACTGCACTTGAATAAGAATATCCTCAATAAATAGCTCCAATTGTTTGAACTTATTTGAATCACCTTGCATTTTGTAACACCAGGTGATCCCTCTTGGTTATACTGTGTTCCATGGGGCATGCGCAAAATGCTAGTCTGGCTGAAACAGCAGTATAATGATCCAGAAATAATTGTGACTGAGAATGGATTTAGTGTTCATGGTGAACATGATCGCAAATTACCTGCTGCTCTCCAGGATACAGACCGCGTCACATACATCAAGGGATACCTCAATGAAGCTTTGAAGGCAGTCAAACTTGATGGTGTTAAACTAAAGGGTTATTTTGTCTGGTCATTGCTGGATAATTTTGAGTGGGATGATGGCTATCGGTTTAGATTTGGCATTCATCATGTAAACTTTGATGACCCCAAGCGGCCACGCACCCCTAAACTTTCAGCAGAGGTCTACAAGGAGATTGTAGCAAACAATGGCTTTCCTTAATGTGCTGCTCCAGAAAATACCATTACCTCCCTACCCATGGAGGGGTTTTTGCTCTGAACTACCCACCCTCTGGTAATTCTAGTTTGTCCCATCTTTCTTTAAAAGATTTGGCCTTTTGTTATTTAACTTTCTAATGACACTCAGTTGGGTGGGTAATGATATTTTTTGGAATCGTACTATGAAAGATAATAATTTGAAGAAACAGTATTTCTTCTAGTTTGATAACAGTAGTATATTAATCAAATAAAACAACTTATTCAATTTGTTTTTCAAAACCAAAAAAATTATGCAAAACATCAAACAATTAAATTAATTAAAGATGATTTTCGGCCCATACTGCGCACTCTCAAGAGTTTGTTTACGTTTTTTGTTTTGTTTCATGTAAGACATCACAAAATGTAAACATTTCACAACTACTTACAAGAAGTAAATTCAAAGTTTTATGTCAACCGCCATTGTGGATGTGTAGCTTTATGTTTCGTTCTTTCTTATATCACCTGATGAAACAACTTGGCAGCTTTAAAAATCAGTGAAGCTGTTGGAAAAAGAATTTGAAAGGCCTCAAAGATAAGGTATGTGGTTCATAACAAACAAGATTGATTCGCATTCCATCGAGTGAGACTTATAATGTTTATAAACATTAGGGTGCTGAGACTGCGCAGTACAGACTGGAAATTATCTTTAAACAGATTGGCTCTAATGATCGTTAATAATAATCATTGTGTTTACTCTCATATTGTATATAATATTATGCCTGTCCTGATCATTGTCTTTTTTTTCTGCTAAGGCTTGTGACAAAAGTATTTAATATTTTTCGTAAACAACTTTGTGTCCTATAATTTACAGCAACTTCTCAGTGGTACACAGGAAGTTGTTCCATTTGTCTTCTTTACTATTTTTACTTGTCTATTCCAATTATAGGCATCAAAGGATGACTATTAAGAGGATCCTACATATACCTTTTTTCTTGTTTCTCAAGTTTAGAAGTTTGGCCTACAATGTTCTCTAAAATGCACACCTAAAGGTCTCCAAGCAGTTAGTTTAATCATGAAAATTTAATCAATTTGTAATAGTAATTGGACCAAGTAGAGTACAATTCAGGATGAGTTATTTCAAAATCTGATAAGCATACAGTGTGAGGCCTATTTGAAATTACGAGCATGATTGCCCCCTAAATTGTATGACACAAGGTCAAATTTCTAATGAATTGTATGAACAAAAAATTTTGAAAATTTATAAAAAAAAAGAAGACTTTTGAGAACTTCTTTTGAGCAGAAAAGTGAATAGTGCTTTCAATAAGTTTCAAAAACTGTAGGAAATATTAAGAAGGAAGCCATCAAAGCATGTGTAATTGATGTGCAAATGGCAAAGATATCCAATTACAAATATCCAATTACAAGTTGAATACCTGTAATTTGACACACCAATTATGTGACAAATAGGGCCGTGGGGAACCAATCACAATCAAAAATTTTGTTATGGATATGATTAACATCATGATATTACATTAGAAAATATAAATTGAGTGATGAGTCAGTGAAACAGCCAATGCAGCTCGATTTCCTAAAGGGATGTATTTTTAGGCTACATTTAGCCGAAGTTAAGCAAGTTACTGCCCCCCCCCCCCCTCCTCCTGCCAGGGTACCCTACAACATGAAGATCAAGATATTTCTCCCTTTACATTTTTGCTGATGTGCAACAGAAGGAACTCTGCAACTAATCTTTACCAGGGTAGTAGTCCAGGTCATTGCACCCTGAGAATCCCCCGGAGGAGGGGGATTTTACTCTCCCCTCTTCCCACTTAGGCATGACCTTGATTAGGTGTCCTTTTTATGATATATTATCCTGAATCCTGTAACAACAACTCGAAAGTTTCTTACGATAAGTTCATGACCGCCTCCACCACCAACATATCTCATAAACCTGTAAAAATCACCTGGTCTGGCTTTAGAGACGACAGGATGATCAGAGATCACAGTGTGTTCACGTTTCCAGTAATGTTCTGCGATGTCAAACAATCGCCGACGCTCTGCTATCTCAATAATTTGTTCGTCTTCAAGTGATGGCGTTGTTGGAGAGCAGCCTGCTTCCGGTCTCATTAATTTCACGAAGATTTCGCCCTTTTTATTTCCATAGCCCTGGTCTTTCCAAAGAACTGACATGACTAGTTTCTTGACAGAACCAGAAAGAACTGGTCCGTCAAAATACAACTCGTTGGGGCAAATATAAGGACCAGAGACGAAAAAGTCCTTGCCTTTCCACTCCTCGGTGGTAGGAATAATTCGAGGCATAAGTGAGTGAATTCGTCGGCATGTCAAACCTAAACGCACTATATCCTCTGGGTCGAGAAAGCGAGTTATATGTATCAGCGCTAAATCGTCAAGTTCCTCTAAGGAATACACCATAGCGGGGTTTTCACGTTTTAAACGCTCAGATTGTAGTTTACTCCAGCAGGTCGAAACGGAAAATACTATCTTTATCCCCGAGATTGCGTGACATCGTCGAAACTGTCTATTTATAGTACTAAAATCGTGAAGTCTCCGATCTTTAGTTACCCCAGAGAATGGCGTTTTCACAATTCGAAAGCCCAGTCAATTCCTTACAGTAACACTTAGTTAGCTTGTCCACATCAGAAGGAACCACCGGCTTCGAAAGTAGTCACGCAATGAATCGGCAGGAAGTCCGAAGGAAACGAAAGGCTGCGAAAGGTAATGTGCACAAAACGACGGAACCGGAAGTCTAAGCAAGAATAGATAGGCTAAAGCGAGATTAAATCTGTAAACCGTACAGAGAGAAGGTTTCTCAGGTTTTACCTGTGCCACTGCTTCCATCTTACACGATCTAAAAGAAATGACCTGGAAAGATTATTTTTTTTAGTTTGACGGCCTGGAGAGGTACTTGCCACTGAATGAAAGGAAGGGGGTGACTGAAAATGGTGAGTAAAACCTACAATCATGGACAAATTGTGTTGAAAAATGCCAAAAACATGAAATCATAATCGTAATGCCTACAGAATAAGTGTCAACACCCCCATTACCCCTTCCAATGTTGGAAAATGGTAAAATGTGAACTTGTGTCAGATGAAAGTGTTTTTGTCAACATTGCACAGGGGTGGGGAGGGGCAAAATGTGTATAAAATGATTTTTTTTCCAACCCTTGTGACCAAGATTGTAGATGCAGGATGTGAAACCACCCTGTGAGCAGCAGGTTCTCCTACACTTTCCAGTCAAAGAGAAACTTCGTCTGGAAGTTTATGAAACTACTTCTTGTAGGTATATGTTGATCTATTGTTGTATATCTCTCCCAATCCACAAGTCAGTGTATAAAATATTATTAGCCACTGGTATAATGTCAGTGGTTTCTCTTACACTTCCCATTGAAAGAGAAACCTTGTCAGGAGTCACAGGAATGCCTCTCCTCAACCATGATTTGTTAGAGCAACATTGTTAAATGCCAGAGGGGTTGGGGAAGTGGGGCATTAGTGAAAATTCACCATACCATCCAGGGGCAGAAGTCATATAAATTTTGAAAACATCACAATAAAAATATTATGCAGACTTAGGCTACTCCTTTACATCCTGTGCATGAAGATAAAAATATGATGGCATGGCATTTAAGCTCTGAGTGCAAGGAATCATACTTCACAAATAGCATATTATAAGATGGAACATTTTATTAAAAACAAATTATTAAAATTATTTTTTATTGATTTTCTAGCAATGTACCATTATCATGATCATGTTTCATGGCTTACTGATATAATAGATGTCTTTAGCCTTGCAAATCACCAAAATAAAGACTATTTGTTGAATGCAATACTGCAGGTACCTTCTTCTAACTGGTTACATTTCACTGCACATGTTTCAGTGCCATCACTGACTGCAACTCTACATACATGCAGGAAGTAGCCTATGATTGCAGCCTAACTTCCTAACTCCAGTGCAATTCATGCTGGGATGGCTTGTCATTTAAAACTACCAGTACCCCCCCCNTAGAAAAGTGAAAGCGTGCTTTCCATTCGTTGAAAAATTCTGGTTTAAATTTCTAGAAGTTTCAGTGATGAATGGAACAGTGTTTTCCAGAATTTCTGGAAAAGCAGACAACCTTGTGAGGTATACTGAAATTTTTTGGAATTTCTTATCCATTTGACTTTCTTCCCACAATTTCTGGAATTTTCTGTTGATTGAGGTTTGCTTATTCCGAAATTCAACATTTTCCAAATTTTCTGGAAACTTTACTAGGAAATTTCTGTACCATTTGTCCCCATTTCAAAACTTTTGGAATATTTTGTTAATGGAAATTGCCCAATGTGAGGGGACAGGTTATTGGCATTATTTAGCACAATTTACAGTTAGACTTTTAGGAGTGTTAGAACTAGTGTAAAAACAACTATCAAAGAAGAAATGTCTCCTTACATTGTCAAGAAATGGACTGCACTTGAATAAGAATATCCTCAATAAATAGCTCCAATTGTTTGAACTTATTTGAATCACCTTGCATTTTGTAACACCAGGTGATCCCTCTTGGTTATACTGTGTTCCATGGGGCATGCGCAAAATGCTAGTCTGGCTGAAACAGCAGTATAATGATCCAGAAATAATTGTGACTGAGAATGGATTTAGTGTTCATGGTGAACATGATCGCAAATTACCTGCTGCTCTCCAGGATACAGACCGCGTCACATACATCAAGGGATACCTCAATGAAGCTTTGAAGGCAGTCAAACTTGATGGTGTTAAACTAAAGGGTTATTTTGTCTGGTCATTGCTGGATAATTTTGAGTGGGATGATGGCTATCGGTTTAGATTTGGCATTCATCATGTAAACTTTGATGACCCCAAGCGGCCACGCACCCCTAAACTTTCAGCAGAGGTCTACAAGGAGATTGTAGCAAACAATGGCTTTCCTTAATGTGCTGCTCCAGAAAATACCATTACCTCCCTACCCATGGAGGGGTTTTTGCTCTGAACTACCCACCCTCTGGTAATTCTAGTTTGTCCCATCTTTCTTTAAAAGATTTGGCCTTTTGTTATTTAACTTTCTAATGACACTCAGTTGGGTGGGTAATGATATTTTTTGGAATCGTACTATGAAAGATAATAATTTGAAGAAACAGTATTTCTTCTAGTTTGATAACAGTAGTATATTAATCAAATAAAACAACTTATTCAATTTGTTTTTCAAAACCAAAAAAATTATGCAAAACATCAAACAATTAAATTAATTAAAGATGATTTTCGGCCCATACTGCGCACTCTCAAGAGTTTGTTTACGTTTTTTGTTTTGTTTCATGTAAGACATCACAAAATGTAAACATTTCACAACTACTTACAAGAAGTAAATTCAAAGTTTTATGTCAACCGCCATTGTGGATGTGTAGCTTTATGTTTCGTTCTTTCTTATATCACCTGATGAAACAACTTGGCAGCTTTAAAAATCAGTGAAGCTGTTGGAAAAAGAATTTGAAAGGCCTCAAAGATAAGGTATGTGGTTCATAACAAACAAGATTGATTCGCATTCCATCGAGTGAGACTTATAATGTTTATAAACATTAGGGTGCTGAGACTGCGCAGTACAGACTGGAAATTATCTTTAAACAGATTGGCTCTAATGATCGTTAATAATAATCATTGTGTTTACTCTCATATTGTATATAATATTATGCCTGTCCTGATCATTGTCTTTTTTTTCTGCTAAGGCTTGTGACAAAAGTATTTAATATTTTTCGTAAACAACTTTGTGTCCTATAATTTACAGCAACTTCTCAGTGGTACACAGGAAGTTGTTCCATTTGTCTTCTTTACTATTTTTACTTGTCTATTCCAATTATAGGCATCAAAGGATGACTATTAAGAGGATCCTACATATACCTTTTTTCTTGTTTCTCAAGTTTAGAAGTTTGGCCTACAATGTTCTCTAAAATGCACACCTAAAGGTCTCCAAGCAGTTAGTTTAATCATGAAAATTTAATCAATTTGTAATAGTAATTGGACCAAGTAGAGTACAATTCAGGATGAGTTATTTCAAAATCTGATAAGCATACAGTGTGAGGCCTATTTGAAATTACGAGCATGATTGCCCCCTAAATTGTATGACACAAGGTCAAATTTCTAATGAATTGTATGAACAAAAAATTTTGAAAATTTATAAAAAAAAAGAAGACTTTTGAGAACTTCTTTTGAGCAGAAAAGTGAATAGTGCTTTCAATAAGTTTCAAAAACTGTAGGAAATATTAAGAAGGAAGCCATCAAAGCATGTGTAATTGATGTGCAAATGGCAAAGATATCCAATTACAAATATCCAATTACAAGTTGAATACCTGTAATTTGACACACCAATTATGTGACAAATAGGGCCGTGGGGAACCAATCACAATCAAAAATTTTGTTATGGATATGATTAACATCATGATATTACATTAGAAAATATAAATTGAGTGATGAGTCAGTGAAACAGCCAATGCAGCTCGATTTCCTAAAGGGATGTATTTTTAGGCTACATTTAGCTGAAGTTAACCAAGTTACTCCCCCCCCTCCTCCTGCCAGGGTACCCTACAACATGAAGATCAAGATATTTCTCCCTTTACATTTTTGCTGATGTGCAACAGAAGGAACTCTGCAACTAATCTTTACCAGGGTAGTAGTCCAGGTCATTGCACCCTGAGAATCCCCCGGAGGAGGGGGATTTTACTCTCCCCTCTTCCCACTTAGGCATGACCTTGATTAGGTGTCCTTTTTATGATATATTATCCTGAATCCTGTAACAACAACTCGAAAGTTTCTTACGATAAGTTCATGACCGCCTCCACCACCAACATATCTCATAAACCTGTAAAAATCACCTGGTCTGGCTTTAGAGACGACAGGATGATCAGAGATCACAGTGTGTTCACGTTTCCAGTAATGTTCTGCGATGTCAAACAATCGCCGACGCTCTGCTATCTCAATAATTTGTTCGTCTTCAAGTGATGGCGTTGTTGGAGAGCAGCCTGCTTCCGGTCTCATTAATTTCACGAAGATTTCGCCCTTTTTATTTCCATAGCCCTGGTCTTTCCAAAGAACTGACATGACTAGTTTCTTGACAGAACCAGAAAGAACTGGTCCGTCAAAATACAACTCGTTGGGGCAAATATAAGGACCAGAGACGAAAAAGTCCTTGCCTTTCCACTCCTCGGTGGTAGGAATAATTCGAGGCATAAGTGAGTGAATTCGTCGGCATGTCAAACCTAAACGCACTATATCCTCTGGGTCGAGAAAGCGAGTTATATGTATCAGCGCTAAATCGTCAAGTTCCTCTAAGGAATACACCATAGCGGGGTTTTCACGTTTTAAACGCTCAGATTGTAGTTTACTCCAGCAGGTCGAAACGGAAAATACTATCTTTATCCCCGAGATTGCGTGACATCGTCGAAACTGTCTATTTATAGTACTAAAATCGTGAAGTCTCCGATCTTTAGTTACCCCAGAGAATGGCGTTTTCACAATTCGAAAGCCCAGTCAATTCCTTACAGTAACACTTAGTTAGCTTGTCCACATCAGAAGGAACCACCGGCTTCGAAAGTAGTCACGCAATGAATCGGCAGGAAGTCCGAAGGAAACGAAAGGCTGCGAAAGGTAATGTGCACAAAACGACGGAACCGGAAGTCTAAGCAAGAATAGATAGGCTAAAGCGAGATTAAATCTGTAAACCGTACAGAGAGAAGGTTTCTCAGGTTTTACCTGTGCCACTGCTTCCATCTTACACGATCTAAAAGAAATGACCTGGAAAGATTATTTTTTTTAGTTTGACGGCCTGGAGAGGTACTTGCCACTGAATGAAAGGAAGGGGGTGACTGAAAATGGTGAGTAAAACCTACAATCATGGACAAATTGTGTTGAAAAATGCCAAAAACATGAAATCATAATCGTAATGCCTACAGAATAAGTGTCAACACCCCCATTACCCCTTCCAATGTTGGAAAATGGTAAAATGTGAACTTGTGTCAGATGAAAGTGTTTTTGTCAACATTGCACAGGGGTGGGGAGGGGCAAAATGTGTATAAAATGATTTTTTTTCCAACCCTTGTGACCAAGATTGTAGATGCAGGATGTGAAACCACCCTGTGAGCAGCAGGTTCTCCTACACTTTCCAGTCAAAGAGAAACTTCGTCTGGAAGTTTATGAAACTACTTCTTGTAGGTATATGTTGATCTATTGTTGTATATCTCTCCCAATCCACAAGTCAGTGTATAAAATATTATTAGCCACTGGTATAATGTCAGTGGTTTCTCTTACACTTCCCATTGAAAGAGAAACCTTGTCAGGAGTCACAGGAATGCCTCTCCTCAACCATGATTTGTTAGAGCAACATTGTTAAATGCCAGAGGGGTTGGGGAAGTGGGGCATTAGTGAAAATTCACCATACCATCCAGGGGCAGAAGTCATATAAATTTTGAAAACATCACAATAAAAATATTATGCAGACTTAGGCTACTCCTTTACATCCTGTGCATGAAGATAAAAATATGATGGCATGGCATTTAAGCTCTGAGTGCAAGGAATCATACTTCACAAATAGCATATTATAAGATGGAACATTTTATTAAAAACAAATTATTAAAATTATTTTTTATTGATTTTCTAGCAATGTACCATTATCATGATCATGTTTCATGGCTTACTGATATAATAGATGTCTTTAGCCTTGCAAATCACCAAAATAAAGACTATTTGTTGAATGCAATACTGCAGGTACCTTCTTCTAACTGGTTACATTTCACTGCACATGTTTCAGTGCCATCACTGACTGCAACTCTACATACATGCAGGAAGTAGCCTATGATTGCAGCCTAACTTCCTAACTCCAGTGAAATTCATGCTGGGATGGCTTGTCATTTAAAACTGCCAGTACCCCCCCAGTACCCCCCTCCCCCCACCCAGAGGGACTCCCATGTAAAAAGGACAGGGTTGCTTATCAGAAATTTGGAAAAAAAAACCCTAAGAGGTACCAAGATCCTACTCTGCAGGTGTGACTTGAATTTTGTTTTCACCCACAAGAAGTAATAATATTCTAAGACAACACATTATTCTGGCATATTTTGTTCAGCTCAATACCCTTAAAGGTACCCAAAAAGCTTCTGCTGTGGACCTTTTGAGGCCAAACTTCCTAAAAGGTAACAAAACTGCTTTGTTAACCCCTAAAAGGTCTGACAAACACCCTGTCCTCTTAAATGGCAGTTGTCCCCGCCCCCAGTTGAAAGAATGTTCAGTTCTGGTTCAATCTAGTCGCAGCCTAACTTCTGTGCTGGTTTTCAGGGCCAGCATTTTTCTGAGAGAACGTGGCAAGGTATCCTTCTCTCCGTCACCTACTCTAAGAGCTATCTGTTAATGCTATTTAGAAAACAGTGCTAAAAATATATGCACACTGATTGGTTAAAAATGTTGTTTCTATAACTCTTTAGTATAAATCTACTAGCATTCTATGTATCATGAATGCCATTCTCTGATTGGCTACGCTACTCACTACCTATTCTGTGATAGATGGTGAGTAGCGTAGCAGCGTGCACCTTTTAACAAAATCATGGCCACTTCTTTGCGTTTTCAAGGGGTCTGTGAAGAGGATTTAGATAAAGTTTTGAGCAACTAGTAGATTTATACTAAAACAATTAGATTATTCGCTCGCGATTTCTAACCGTGATAGTTGACGAGGGCGATAGAAATCTCGAGCTCATAATCTAATATTGCTTAATAGAAACACAGAACTAGCACGAGCTGTTGACGTAATGATGGCGTGAGCAAAGACAATTTACATTTTGATAATCAAAGTTAGCAAGTTGTTTTCCTTTTTTTCGTTGTGGTGTTTTCTAAAAGAAACAGAAAACATGTTCTCCATGTTTCTATCGAGTTATAAAAACACTCACCTGCGGCTCGTGTTTCCACAACATTTCTTGCTCTCCCAAACTTCCACTTGTGTTTCTATAACTTGATAGCAACACGGTACATGTTTTTTATTTCTCAATTATTAATAATAATTGTTAATAATGATAATAGTCACACTTGGACTGTTTTTTTTACCATAATGAAGTTGTGTTCACCATGACAATTTTTAGTGTGACTGACAATTCAAGTGTGGCATGCAGGGTTGAACATCAACCAACGATGCACAAAATACATTATTGTACTCTAGAATTTTTTCTAAAGCTGTTATTTTGTCTGTTAGTCTCATTTAATGCACTATCGCACATACAGTAGCCTTGACTCGAAAGTTCTTTCCCTCCAGTTCATGACCTCCTCCACCGCCAGCATTCTTCATAAACCGGTAAAAATCTCCCGCTTTAGCCTTGGCTACGACCGGATGATCTCCACGAATCACATTTTGTGCCTCTTTCTCGAAGTGCTCTGCAATACCGAACAATCTGCGGTACTCTGCAATCTTCACGGGCTCTCCTCTCTCTGCAGCCGGTCGCATCAACATCATGAAGATTTCGCCCTTCCTGTTGCCCCATCCCTGGTCTTTCCACACGACGGACACTTCCAGTTCGATCACCATGCTAGGAAGTATTGGTCCGTCGAAGTACAATTCAGGAGCCCAATGTCCTCGTCTGGGGCCAAAAATGTGAAAGTCCGGCCCCTTCCACAATTCGGTGGTTCGAACAACTTCGGGCATCATTGCATGCATATGTCGTGATGTTCTGCCCAAACGGACTACATCTTCTGGATCGAGAAATTTGATGATGTTTCGCAACACAACGTTGTCGAGTCGCTCCATGTAACGGCTGAACTGTCCACAGTTTATGTTCACGCTTATTGAAAGCTTCGCACTCGACTACAGACTAACAAGTTCGAAATTTTTGCCGAGCTGGTTTCTTTGAAAATTTTCCCCCCGAAGTCGTGTCACCTCATAAACGAAATCGAAATGCATACAATGTCTATATATAGAGTCGCTGTGCGAACTCAGAGAACGTATATATATACTCCTCTAAAAGGACAAAAGCAAAGTTTTTTATATCATTCCATCAAATAAAGTATTTTTAAGGCGATATTTGCGTGACTATTTGCGCTATGTCTACCAGGTTTTCGCTCGGGTTTTCGCAATCTGTCGCAGCTGCTGACCGCTGATGTACGCGGGTAAAAACTACACTCCACTCTTCGTCTGCAAATCTGACTGGTTGGCAACAGAAAACCGCCAGCACATCACTTCGGCGAGTATCAGGTGCCAAAAATTCAGTAAATTATCGAAATATCAACTTTCACACACATTTATGGTATTCTGATGCGAGCTCGTGATTATGGCTGATTCTGCCTGTGCTATGACAGAATAAACCCCAAACTCCTTCCCAAAAGTGCTGCTGAAAGGAACAATTAAAAGTGAGATGAATAGGTCCAAGGAGTTTACTGCACAAAAATCACAGAACAGACCCTTTAACAGATGCGCAACCTTTTTACTTATTTACTGACTATTTCTTTATAGCCTGTGGTCCCTGTGGACAGGCTCTGGCTGGAATGGCCAAAAAGGAACTGAATGAGAGTGAAGTGGCCGAGGGGAGAACGGGTTAGGGGTTGTGGCATCCCCTCCTCCTCTCTCTGCCATTCTTTCTCTTCCTGCTTTCTCTTCACCCCATCCTCGACAAGAGAGCCTGTTCACAGGCTATTTCTTTAACTTGGGGAGTGCATGTGTTTGAGAAATTGTGAATTGGAGGCTAACAGTGTTTTATAATTGAGTCACACAATATCACATAATACACATTTCTTGTGGTACTCAAAATATTAATGCAACTACCTGACATACTCAAATAACAATAATTTTACACCAAGTCGTGTGTTTTACACAGGCACATGAAAGTGCATATCTTTTTAATAGAGCTCAAACAATGGTATGTTTGACTGAGTTTTGTTTTTAGTTATTTAGTTCAAGATGAAAGTAGTCAAATGTTTCAGAGAATTTATAAACAAATTCATTTGCTGTGAAACACTAAGAAAGTTACAAAAAAGGAATTAAAACATGATAAAGTGCATGCCCTCAATTACACATTCCTTATTTTAAAACAGAATGCGGAAAGAGAGTGTCCTACTTCCGTTTTACAAATGACTGGATGTCTCTCCCAGTATTTTTAAGAAAGTCAATGCCATGTACAATTTTTAAGAATAACCTTATAAGGTTCTTAATGGATAAACATTTTTAGAAAAAATGACAGTAGGTAGTTTTGGTAGTTTTAGTAGTTTTAATTATAATTTTGTATATTTTATATTTTAGATCTGTGATACTTGTATTTCTTACTTTAGATTTTAATACTTTTTATTTTATAGAGGACCTCCCTGAAAACCACGTATTTACGTGACGGGCGCTTCCTCTTTAAAGATTGTTTTTATTATTATATTATTATTATATAAAAGATTCAGATGACAACCCATTTACAAAGATCTTACAACATAGTTTTGATCAGCCATATAATCACCCAACTCGATTAAAATTATTGCAGAAGATTAAGTTCAATAACCAATTTAGTTTGTTTCTTTTATTTCTTTAACAATGTTTGCTATGAAGAGTTACATCCCCAAACTTACTGGGCAGGGAACTATTACCAGAAATTTGATGCTTCTGCTTCATTGAAAAGCAGCGTACATTCACATAACAATCATTGGCAACAATAAAATTACAGTCCTCAGCTCTGTCATAATAGAACTTACATTAGCTTGAAAAAATAGGTACCAACATTACCATATAACTGATCAAGTAACATCAAAAGGACTAATTTAATGGTCTGCACTGTAATAAAAAAAACTACAGACAGCATCAAACCTGTACATTTATTCATGACAACACGGTAATAACATAAGGTGGCAGACTTACTTCTGCCTGCACTTACAAACAATATAGTGTTTATGGAGAATACAGTGTCAAGTTCAATACCCTGTAACATTGTACACGTTTTTATCTCTTAGGCAAGGTCTCCAAAAATTCCCAGAGTTATTGTGTGCTTCACCGTGCAAAAAGCATCCTTTCATCTTACACCGGTAACCTTCAACGCAGACCTTGGCTCACTGTGATGTCTTCAACACCAGTCTAAGATATAAAATAAATGCATTTGCAAAGATTTTGGCAAATACAACTTACTTGAAAAAAGTACTAGATGGGCAGTGCATAGATACAAGCAAAATCTCTAATTTACTGTAGTTTGTGTAATAACATTTTGTTTTTGAGCTGACAAATAGAGGATATTACATGGCTTGGCAGAGATTTTCTCCTTGAGTGTTCAAAAATATTGCGTGGAAATACTTTTCAAGACAAGAAGAGAAATTCTGTATCTCCAAAAAGGTATGTAATGTCCTATTTATTATTATAAACACTGATGAAATACCACAGCATTTCACTTTCAATGCTAAAGGAACAAAGGCCAATGCTTGTCATGGCCAGTTACGGCCAGCACAGGTGTCAATGGGTTAAAAAGTTTTTTTACGTACTTGTCTCCAATCAGTTATAAAAACTTATGTGAGAATCCCCCCACACTGTGATAACAGTCAGTTGATAGGAGAACAAGTACACTATTTTGAACAACATGGCCAAGCAGGTGTCCTAAGGACAGCCTTTATCACTCATTACAGCTTTTTCCTTGCATCTCTCACCTTTAGCAATGTGACAGATTCAAGTGGCTCAAGACTCCATTGCACCATCTTCATCAGCATCATCAAACTGCCCAGTATCTGCCGGGCTTGGTGGCTGTACTTTGCATGGAGGTGGCAAGGAAGAAGAATATATAGCTGATTCATAGTTTGCAGTCTTGGTGAAAGCTTGAGAAGCAGGGGGATAACAGTACAGCAAGTTTTGCAGCTGGTTTTGAAAGTACACTTTGTTATAGCTCCTTTCTTTAAATGTTTCCAGCACAAGATTATAGGCCAAGGAATCTTGTATTTCCTTATCCCAATCTTCAGTCGTGTCCATGTTGTTTGATGGAGGGTCATCTGAGAGAGAACTTTCCATCTTCAGCCCTTTTGACTGAGGTCCTTCTGAGTCAACACTGTTGGATGGAATCTCATTTGCCATGTTTCTAATGGCATCTGCTTGATCTTTCAGCTCATTCAAAATCTCAATGTGAGATTCATTGTCAGGGAAAGCATCAGCATCTTCAAATATGTTACTGTAGAGGTTTTTGGAATGTTCAAGAAGGATGTCTCCTTCTTGAGGTTGGGACACTGAAGACGAATTTGGGATGAATTCTCTCATAGCTTGTTCTTTGACTTTAGCCTCCCTCTCGTCTGGGCCTAGCAAGACAGGTTTACATTAATGCTATTGTCATTTGTACTATTTTAGGATTGGGTAGCTGCACTGCAGAGCAGTGCTACAGTGTTTGCAGAGCTTCAAAAAACTTGAATTCCAGCTCACCCTTGGGACAAGTAGCTCTCAAATTTTGCTTGTTCTGGACAAGTCTTAGTTGCTCTTTTAATAACTTAGTTGGCGGATGACTTGCTTGATCCCTTGCCCGTTGGGCAAGTGAGAATGAAAAGTTACTTGTCCAGAAAGAAAATGTACTTGTCCAGGACACAGGGATGGCACTCTTGTCGAGACCTGGTTTGTACATGAAGAACGAGTAAATTGATTTGATTTTTGTCACACAGCATATCAGCACATATTTGAAACAGAAATAGATTTTATTGCCTTTATAATGCATGCTTCCGCATCCTATTAGTTGCCTTTCTCATTCCAGGTCCACTTAATTAGTATCTATGCAACTTAGGCAGACAACGGTTTACATAGAGGATATTACATGGTGGTGCATGTGAAAAAATGAACTCTATTACTGAGTGGTAAAATATTATTAGGGAAAATAAAATCCATCTCTTCAAGCCACCACATTCAAATAATTGATGTGTTTCCTACATTTTGTGCGAAACTCTTTATGACTAACCTTTGTGTGACTTCCATATGGACAAGCTCCTTTTCATGGCATATTCCAATGCTGCTTCACTAAAATTTGTCTCCTCCCCATCCTCACCTGTGTCAGTTTCATCTTCACTAGCTCCGTCATCTACCTCATTTAATATCTCAATTGTCGTCACCTTGTCTGGCTCAATATAATCTTCCCTCAACTTTCCACGCCAATTGTCTTTAAGATTAAGATCTTTCTCTGGATATTTGACCTGCTTTGTCAACTTAGGAACTTTTTCCGCTCTCAGTTTAAACTTGTTCTTATCCAAGTCAAGTCTCAGAAGTTTTTTGAGATTTAGGAGTTCCTTTGGAATCTTTGTGAGTTCATTGTGGAACAAATCCAGGGTTTGAAGGTTGATCAAATTTGCAAATGAACTGGGAAGTTCTTTGAGATAGTTGTTGTTCAACCTCAACTCAATGAGACTGGTGAGGTTGCCAAAGTTTTCAGGAAGTGTTTGCAAGTAGTTTTGTGACAACTGAAGGTACCAGAGCTTGGTAAGTAAACAAAATGAGGGAGGTAGACTTTGTAAACGATTTTGCCCAAAATCAACCCATTCCAAATTAATCAGTGAGCCAAAGTTTTCTGGCAATTCAACTAGCTGATTCTCGTCTAAATGCAGTTTTTGTAGGTTAACCATCCAGCCAAAACTACTTGGCAAAGTAAAAAGCCTGTTTCCATTCTGGAAAGCCCTCCTTTCAAGTTCACAAATAGTGCTTCCAAGTTGCAACTTCTCTAGCTTTTTCAGTTCTCCCATAGTTTCTGGCAAGTTTGAAATGTTATTTGCTGAGAGATCAAGTGTCTTCAATGACTTACCAGACACAGTTCCAAAGGAATCTGGCAGGGGACTCCCTAACAACTCATTATCAGCAATCCCCAGATTCTCAATGCTTAACAAATTTCCAAACCAGGATGGCAATATCTTAAGATAATTTTTGTCAACAAAGAGACTTTCAATAACTTCTGCAGACTGAAACTTTTCTGGTAAATTTTCAATGCTGTTACCACTCAAGTCAAATGTCTTCAAACAAGGGAGATTCCCTAGTGATTCAGGCAAGTCTGACAGTTCGTTGTGGCTCAAGTTGAAAATCTCCAGTTTGCTCAACGCTCCAGTATCATCTGGAAGGCTTGTAAGATTATTGTCTCCCAACTCGAGCACCTTTAAATTCTTCATGCAACTGAAAGAATGGGGCAGGTTCCTTAAGTTGTTCTCGTCCAACCGCAGTTCCAGCAGGCATTCCCCGAATCCTTCCTTCCAGGATTCGATTCCATTGCCAATGGCGTCCAGAATTTTCAAATGCTGGAGCTTTGACAAAAACACAGGCAATTCGTGAAGGCAGTTCTCGTTTAAGTGAAGTGACTCCAAATTTTCCAGTTCTTTCATCGTATCTGGAAGCTCTTGCAGCTGGTTTCCTGTAGCAGATAACACTTTCAATGACGATAAATAGGAGATTTCCTTCGGCAAGAACTTCAAGTCGTTGTAGTCGAGATTTAGAATGGTGACATATTGAAAAGTTTTTGAGAGAATTTCACAAGGAAACGTGTCGAGATCTAAAGAAGACAGCTCTAAACTGGTTCCTTCATTCAAAGCAGCCGTTTGTACGATTTTCTTCGCCTCTTCCATCGTTATATTTGGCAGCCAAACTTGACAGAACACACGTGTTTTGAATGAACCAAGGAGCCTCGTTTTGGTAAACGCGCCTTGTTGTTGATGGGGAAGGAGCGGGGAGAGGGAAGGGAGGTATCAAGCTTTTGTCCCTCTGAGGCCTGCGTTTTTCTGTTAAACTTACAATGTCTGGGAATAAACTATCACAAAAAAGTACACCTTTTGAAATTCACTTTGAAAACCAGTTCAGTGCTCAGAAATCATGTGTTAAAATAATGCTCTTCTATAAAGCTGAATCACATAAGGAAGTCTTAAAAAGACTTGAAAGGTCTTTAAAGGGGAAGGCAGAGACGGATTTGGCCAGCGTGTTTACATCCTTGGTGCCACCAAATTCAGACCATGTGATAATTCATTTGGGAGCCAGGTTACAATAGTGTAATTTATCACACGCAACCGATTTGCATGCGTGTATAGTACAAACGGAACAATTATTGTAACCTGCCAAATGAATCATGACATGATCTGAATTGGGCGATAAGGATGTGAACATGCTAGCCGAATCTGTATATTGACAGGTAACAACAGATCACATAAATTTTGGTGATCAAATCAGACAAATCATTATTGTGTAGTTTCAGAAATTTCCATACCTCCCCTACAGAAGAGATTTTTTCTTAGACCCTCTCCCCACCCCTCTGAAAATTCTAAATAAGCTTCATACATTTCTCTAAATTTTTTGGTCTTAGAGAGCTCTACACCCCAGGAAAAATTCCAATCACTTCTGTGAAGGGAGTATGGATATTTTCGTCTTGGAACTCTACCTCTATATAATTTTTGAGCAACACATCTGTTGGGGAAGTATCAGCAGCATGGATGCTACTGTAAGCTTATGAGAATGAAGACAGCTGGAAGGGCGTGTTTAAAACACAAAATGACACTATGGTTATACTAAATAGCACTTTGGTTAGCTTAAATATCACTGACTTGGCAGTGGTTACCTCTCAGTAATCATAAGCGTTAACCCTTAGAGACATCTGTATATTTCCACATTGACTCTTACCCGTAATAGCATTTTATCATTTTGCCCTCTCATGTTTTAAGCACAGCAGGACATGCCACATGTATGAAGAGTCATCAAAAATACATCTAAATGATGAAGCAATAAAATTCTTCACAGATTATTTTAGCTGAAAAAAATTTTATTTCTTTATATTCTTGATAAAAAATTTCTTTATCAATAAATTTTAATGTACCAGTAGCTATTTTTGAGTCAATAGGCCCTCTATTTGCATGACACTGGTTATCAAGCTTTCTGAGTATCAATATTTTACAGTGGCTGGAAACTTGATTTTAGAAAATTAAGCAAACTTCTTGTTCCTTGGTGACCAAAGGATGATTCATTGTGTCATCATGTAATTAACACTTTCTCCGTCATAAATTGTCAAGCAATATCAGTCATCACTGCCATGCATTTTCTATCTTCATCAATTTCACCATCATCATCAGCGCTGCCATTTTCATAGTTGTTGTCTTCATCACCATCATCAAAATAACCGCTTCGCCCAAACCAAAACCCAGCATTACCTATGAAAATAAAATTCAAAATCAACCATCTTCAAATATTTATTTAAACCTCAAATTTATGTCTTTCTCTTTCCTTACAAACCAAACAATATTGGCAATAAACAATTCAAAAAGGTGTTGGCCGCCTTTGTCTGGCCTGAGGAACATGGAATGGTATATCAGGTGACGCAGCATGACCTTAGCTAGCAAGCTTTTTTCATGAGAAGGCAAATGACCACTCAGAGAAAATCTCCAAGACTAATTTCTGCATTGGTTCTAGCAACACCAAAATCATCACTCACATTCTATATTCAGTAGAATGTTTCCAAGCAGAGGCATTTCCCTCACACAGAGCTTTAACAGCTCTTCTGTACGCTTCATCTGGTGTAAATCCCACCAGCTTAGTTCCATAAAGTTTGACACCTTCCTTTGCTACCAATTCTCCCACTCTAGTTTCTATGACTTCTGGACTTGTGTACCGAAAATGTCCCTCACTAGAAAGTTCCTGCAACCATAGTACAATTAACACCATTAACAAATAGACACTTAAACTGTTTGCATTTCTAACATCTGCGTATTTAAGCAGGTTAATGTAAGGGAAAAAGTAGCCTTGTAGCCCAATGGAAACAGACAGATTTCTGACTTTTGTTTCATGCTGCTGATTGGCTCCCAAGCCAGAAATCCGTCTGTGTTTGCAAGCTACATTCTCATGGTTATGTAAGAACTACCTTTGAAGCTTCAACATTACAAGCAATTTCAACTCTTCCCTCATGCTTGAACGCCATTGACTGCACCCCAGCTAGACCACCAGGAGATGATGCACGAATCGCACTGGCAATTTCCCTTCCAAGCCCCAGATCTTGACTGTCTATAGTGACATTGCAATTAGTTACGTATGGAATAGCACCAACCCCTGTACAACCATACCTCTGGGAGGGAGGGGTCCCAAGATCCCACCCTACCCTACTGAAATCCATACCATGTTGACCATAGTACCAGTTGACTGCTTTGCGTCGCTCAACCAGTCCCCTTACTAAAGGCTGATCAGCGTGACCAAACAAGAACACAGAGGTGCCTTTAATGTTGCTAACAAGGCGTCTTCCAAGGTTTAAGGCTATGTTCCCACAATCTGCAAGAGACACACTGGTGGTTATGGTATGGATAGGGATGAGATCCACAGATCCCAGCCTGGGATGCCCACCAGTATGCTTTCCCAAGTCTATTTCTCTGTAAGCAACTTGACAGGCTCGGAAGACACTTTCCTCTATGTTTTCCACTGGTGCTGCTATAGTGATCACAGATCTGTTGTAGTCATAGTCTGAGAAAATGTTCAAAACTGTTGACGAGCATTTGAGGCTTTTCGACTTGGAAGGGAAATTGATTGCTGCATTAGCCACAGATTCCACTATGCCCTTGTTTCGTGCTTCGGAAATGTTCAATAAACAAGCCACAAGACGGAAAGATGGGACACTGTTGGTCATCTCTGGTACAAAAGGGAAACGAAGACAAGCAGATACGGTGATTCCAAGGACTGATACTATTGGCTGTTTTATTTTCGCGGGTAAAATAAGCCAATCACGAGGCTCGGAATAAAATCTGCAATGATTGTGGTCAGCAGTAGACGATATAAAAACAATGGCGGTCGAAGCTGCGAAAAAACCTTGAAAACTTTGTAGCGGTTTGTGAAGATGTCTTTCATTCGAATACGTCTTACTTTTCAGCGTGCTCTGCCTCTAAAAGAGGTCAAGAACTGTTGGTTCCTTGTGGATACCTCCACTTGTAGCACGATCGCCGATTTAGAGTATTTGATAAAGAAGAGATTCATAGCGCTTTCCAAGAGCTGGAGCTCAGTGGACCTGTTTCTGGAGGACTACCTCCTACCTTCACAAGAGAAGATAGAGATTATTCAAAATAATGACAACATACGGTGAGTATTCTCCTGGCCTTACTTTTTTAAGTAATGCGACTCAAAATTTTGCTCAAATGTTCTTTGTTTGGATTAGACAGTAATAACTTTAATAAAGTCTTGTTCTACTTTATTTGCAATGAAATGTACAGTAGGCTTACGATTTAGTTACCTACAATCCCGAGTTGCATGATTTAGCTGATTGGTGTTCAGTCAGTGATGAATACGAAAAATGTAGAAATGGTGAGCTGAAGTAGGAAGTACTGGTAGTAATCAAAGATTAGAGCAGTGCGTTCACGCGCGTACTTTGCATGTTTGGTCTACTTCTGTCGCGTTCAAATGGCTCGATAGAAATAACGTTTGATCGAAATAACGATCCGCACGTGAAGTTGAAGCCTGCAGTAAAAGTGTTTTAATTAATTAATTATTAACTTGTACTGGACAAAATAATTTCCAGGAATTTGAACTGTTGGTGACACTTAGAATTCAATTTCAGATCGCCAACACTTGTAACAAACATTTCTTGAGAAAATAAAGTTTTGACCAGCGACCCTGCAAGACAGCACGTTGCCAAATGTTTTTAAATTTTGTGTTTGTATTTGTTTACATTTCTCAAATTTACATATTGTTTTCACAAATGAAAAAGGTGAATTAACCATTCTGACCACAAAACATGGCCTTTTGGCTAGTTACACAACACGGAAAGTTTGTTTCCTGACAACCAATTATGGCCACAATGGATTTGCTGAGCTACAAATCAGAAAAATTATTTTCTGACCACTGATCTGAGGGTAATCATTGTCATTTGCCGAACTACACGGAAGATTTGTTTTCTTACCACAACTCATGGCCATTTGCTGTCGCCGAGCTACAAGACATTCTTTCCTGACGACTCAGGCTTTAGTTACTTGTTGTTGAAGACTAGCAGGTCAAAATACATGCAGCTTTGCAAAAATCATACACACTTTGAATCTATACAGCGGGGGTTGTTGATTATACCCCCTCGACTCCTCAGAAAAATTAAAATCTTAGGCTCTCTAAGATGTTATTTTCACAACTCAAAACAGAACTTGCACAATGGTGATTATCGTTATCAGTGAACTAATTTAATTGATAGATTCAGTTGCTACTATTTATTTGTAGAGTGGAGGTTAGACAAATGATAATCAAGCAGGCAGGCAGAGAGGAGGACTGTGACGACCAAGGTGAGAGGAACTGACTGCTAAGTGTGCTTTCTGTTCTTTTAACTATAAGAACAATAAATACCATGAATTCTATTTGTGCCAAAACTTTTATTTTATATTTTAGAAAAAATAGGCAAAAACTGATTGGGATACAGGCACCTTTGGACTTGGGGGAGTGGTTACCTTCTTGCCTGAGAATATTGTATTATGCAATGCCAATTAAAAATATTTCAGAGCATTGTGTAACACTGAGATTGGTGAGTGTTAAATTGGAAACATACAAATGACCTCAAATTGCGGTAAAAACAGAAATGCTCATGATTATTATGATGTCTAATGGTTCTGTTATAATTCCAAACAATAATAGCTGTTTTGAAACCTTGCATACTCTATGACCTCGATCAATAGCCTAGTTGATTAAGTAAAATCAGAAACTTATATAAGAAAAAGTTATTTCTTCCTGATACAAGCACTACAATAAGAATTGTAAAATTTAAAACGGCTATATGTGGAGCCATTCAAAATGGCTCTTTTCAGAAGTGGCACAAAAATAAAAATCCATGTCCCTTCCACCCCCTCCCCAGCCCATATGCCTATGCAAAAATTATGATTAAAGATTGGGTTTCATATCAGTTTTTAAAAATAAAGTGTTACTTACAGTCTGATAGTTTAAATTAAACTGAAGTTGTTTTGTTTTATTTCTAATGACAGAAAGAGTGAAAAGGAGGAAACAGAACAAACGCTTGCCAGATGCAAGGTACTGGTATTTAAGTTTTGTTGTCCCTGTTTTAAATTTCAGTTTGAGTCCCTGTTGGCAATTAATTTGTGTTACAGATTAATAAGATATTGTGTAGAATAATGAGGAAAAATGTGCACCTTACAAAGTTGCTAATTCAAAGGCCTTCAGCCAACCCAGATCAAACATACTCCTTCAGTACCCCTTGTGAGCAGAGAGTGACATATTTATAAGCCAAATAATTTAATTTTGTTCGCATTTTAACTTCCCTTTCATTCAAAATGAGACAGAATTTTGGTTGATTACTGAAGCAGTGATATTTTAAGAATGTGATTTCCTTAACTTTCCAAAGTGATGATCCCAATAAATTGTTAATGACTTTTTTTGGCCTTTTCTATTTTTTATTCATGCATTTTGTAACTGCCTCAGAAATTACCAAAATCCCTTACCCCTTTTTGGTATTAAGAAAATCTTAAGAGGGTCTTGAAAGATAAGTGACAAAGATGACAGGACAGCTCTGTCCAATCGTCAACACATTCAGATTCTTTCATGCTTATTGCATGAAGTTCCAGTTAAAAGTAATTCTTCTTGTGCCTTGCCAAAATCTGTAGAGGAACATTTCCACAAAACATTTAACTTCTTTAATTTGTCATAAGAGTCCCTGTCCATAAAAATGGAAAATAACTCGGCAAGGATCGAAAATTCGATTTCGCTCATATTTTTATGGTAGACAGGCTAGGGCATGACAAAAACTACTGGATAGTTTTTTTGGCAAAATATCCTTTTATTTCAAAGAAATATGCAAATTACGAAATCCCGTTAAAATCGTCATTTGACGCACCATTTTATTAAACAAGTTTGAGAGCCTCGGATGCAAAACCACATCATTCTTCCATCTTTAAAACACTCANGAGAACTATAGTAATTACAGCTAATAATATTATTCTATTCTAGCTAATAATGTTGTTCTATTTTAAAACAACTTAATAGATATAGAAAAATTAGCGATAAATGCATATAATACATAATTTGCTGATCCCTGCAAAAAAAGAAAAAAAAGTAAAAAAACTGTAAGATAGCTAAAAACGTGACAGAGAAGCTATAAGACATGTTTCAGACATGATTGATCATTGCAGTTATACACACAACTTGAGCAGTTGTGAAATTAAAGCCTGACAAAAATTCAAGGCTGAATGCGGTTCAAACCCATGACCTCTACGATACCAGTGCAGTTCTCTACCAACTGAGCTATCAAGCTAACTGGGAGCTGGTCACTCAGATATATAATCTTTCATATATTCACTGTTATAGAAATCTAAGATGTTATATTTGTCTTCCAGTAATAAATCAAAAAGGAAACAGGTTGATAACAGTGAAGAAGCTTTGAATGAAAGAAAGAAGAAAAGGATTAAGCCACCAGAAAATGGAGTACAAGATGTTAATAATACAGAACGGAATAACAAAGCCAAGAAGAAAAAAAAATCTACTAAAGATAGGAAAAACCCAGTTAAGGAACCAAAGATGGCAAAACAAGTGCATAAAAAACACAAACCAAATTTATCTACACATATGGTAACAAAAAACAACAATGTATCATCATTGGCACAAGAGGAGAGAAAATCCACAAAGACACTGGCATTAACAGGTGCTGTTAACTCTCAGCAGAGCAAATCAAGTAGACCTTCAAAAGAAAAATCCAACATGGAAGACAAACCTGGTAATCCATCTCAGAGAGTTTCATCTAAATCAAATGTTGGTAAAGGTAAAAGTAATTTAGAGCCTTTGAAAACAAATTCAAAGAAAAGCAAGACCAGTGCCAATGGCAAGGGAAAAGACCTTATCACTGGCAAAAAGACCATAAATGGCATTGTCACTGGCAAAAGAGCTGTAGATAGCGACACTTCTTCCTCTGAGAGTTCAATAGAATCATCGTCATCATCATCTAGCCCAACAGAATCATCCTCGGAGTCAACAGATGAATCAGGGCCATCAACTTCACACTCAAAAGTAAATGGTACAGTATCTCGAACAGCCAGTGCTGAGCTAATTAACAATGATAAATTGCCCATCCATGAAAGGTTAGAGAAGGATGTTCAGCATAAAATTGCAAAAGATTCATCTGTTAGAAAAACAGGAAAGGATGAGACTGGGGTATCTTTGAAATTACACACTAATAGCAAAGGAAATGGTGCAATTAGAGAATCTTCCTCATCATCAGAGTCATCCACTGATACTGACAAGTCTGCAGATGCAGTAAGAAAGGATACCAGGTCTTTGTCATCATCATCGTCATCGTCAAGTTCTTCTAGTGAAAGTGAGGAAGAGAAAGCAAAACTTGATGGCAACAAGGAAACTTCATCATCATTATTACATCCTGTGTTGTCATCACCATCATCACAATCATTTCCGTCACCTTCATTACTTCGGGGGATACAGATGCAGGAGACAAATGAGACATCTGCTAATCAGTCTCCCATCCACAGTATTACAGAAAAGATCAGTCTCTTTGGACAAAAGCAAGCTCAACAGAGCACAAGTAGAAGACAAAATAAAAAGCCAGGTAAAACAGTTTATCGACAGAAAATGTACTCAAAACACACTAGACTTTCTGGCTTGGATATTCTCGGATAACACATTTTACTCTTACATTGTTCACTTAAGAGAATAGAATGGGTACTGTCAAATTGTTGGGGAACCTTAAAGTGGATTAGAATCCCAAAAACGTTAGTCATACTGTCGTATCAAACTACCAGTCCCTTGCGGTTTTTCAAGTGACTTTCCTTGACTAATTAAAACCAAAGTAACAATGGTATCCACTACCCTAGGTACCAAACGTGTTTCTTGTGCTTTGTGAATTGATCAGCAAAGACACTTACTCTCACAGTGATTCTTTCCACCCAGGAATATGAATGGGTATCAGTAAATTGTTAGGGAAACCTCACAGAATGTTGGGCAGTAACCTGTAATGGACTAGCATCCTATCCAGGGAGGAGTAGCAATACTCCTCAGGGGGGATTCAGGATTTTTCTTACGAGGGTTGCACCACTGAGGAATGGCACATTTGACTGGTGAGCTAAACAAATTTTAATAGCAAATATGTCATCTCAGAGGGGGGTGTGCACCCCCTGCACCCTCCCCCTGGATCCACCCCTGCTCCTAGCCACTTCATACTACAGAAACAGGAGGAAAACACCTAGAGATATGAGCCAGTTGGTCTTAACAGGCTTTACATCCTGTATTTCCAAAGTCTCAAGCAAGCTCACCTAAGTCATAGTGGGATTGTCTGCTCACTTTCACCTTGTTTTGCCTTCTAGATTCTAGAAATTCAACAAGCCACATCAGGTTTGATTCAGAAGAGTCTGACGAAGAAACTGTTGAGGAGCAGCAAGAAGTTTGTTCCACGAAGGATATCACTGATGACTTTAATAGCACTCCACCATCTTCAAATATTTCAGCAAGTGAGCAAAACCATCAGGCAAGCTCGGAGAAAGCTGCAAGTGAATGTAAGGTAATGCAAAACCTTTGTGATGACTGTGATAACATCTCGATGTCGAGCCATTTTTATGATCATAAAGTATGTGTGTATGGAAGTAATAAAGGATCCTTCAGGGAATCTTGTAAGATCCTTGAAGATCTTCGAAGACACAGATGAAGAACCTAAATGATTGTTAAGAAAAAAGTATGAGATAAACATCAATTTTGAATGTCCTGAACTGGGAACAGGACACCATTTCGACGTACGTGAAGTCCTACAAGCAATGCGATGGTCTAACAATTTGCAGAGGTCATAGCGAAGGCGTTACACTCTTCCTTTGTTACGGTATCTCCAGACGCTGCATGTTGGTCTGCACAGGGTTTCTAACCCAGCGCTCACCTCTCTCTCCTAGACAGGCATACTAAAAGCGAGTGCTTCCATCATAGTACTTGCAGTTGACTATTCCCAACGACCACACCCTAACTGCTGCCTCCAAACTACTGACTGTTATATCCTTGATATTCTGAGAGGCGAAAAATGTCAGCCGTGTAAAACATGCAATGAATTTTCGTTATTTATTTGCAGGAACCACTCCAGCGTGATTACAGTCTTTGTACGCCACTTCATGGCCCGCCCAGAAGTAAGGATAAAATAGCCTACAAGGTCAGTAATATAGGCGTCGTAAATCTCTTCCCGCGAAACAAGCACCTTTCATGGTTGAAATTCCGTCTCTGATAATGTAATTTGTGATAATCTCAAATAAGCTTAAATTACTATTGCCGGCATGGAGCAGAGGGCTGTGGGCGGGTTCGAGGTACGCAGTGTTCCGCGGGATTAGAGATTGAAATTAGTCACCGTTAGCAGGGTGAGACATTCTACTACACTTAGTTTTCGAATCTTTGTAACATCTGTTGACATTTAATAAATGGCACAGAGGCTTGACTGTCCAACGCGCCCAATTCAATTACGATGTGTGCCCGAATGAGTAGTGGAGGCAAGATTTAACCTTTTCGACCTCCATGGTGCGATCTGTTGGTGCTTTTAAAGTCATCTTTAGGAATGAGTTTTTGAAGTTTCGTCTTTTATGCGCTATTGAAATAATTGTCTAGGTAAAGTAAACATTCAGTGAAGTATTTAAAGCTGTTGCTATGCACGTTTATCCTTGTTTGTTTATTATGTTGTTCATTGCTATGCTTACATTACTTTTCACAGGTTCTAGAATTATCAGCTTCCTACACACCGGAAGTCTCAAGTTACAAGGTGCGTTTGATCTGAAAGGTTTTGTTTTTGTTTTCCCTTTCCGTTTTCTGTTTTTAAAACCAGTTTAACCTGCTCTAACCAATCAGAGCAAACGTACTGTGCTTTCTAACCAATCAGGAGCCAAACAACTTGACTTGCGCGCCGTTTTCCCGCGCGTGACGCCGATTGCATGTGTCTCTTGAGATTTCATTGGTTCGCTACCTTGGCTTTTGTGTGTTGTGATTAGTCAGTGTTTTCTTCTCGATTTGATAGCATTCATTAAAAGACCACTCCATCCCTCCAGCACTCCATATGCAGTAAATGCCCCCCTGCTTATTCTCCTTGTTTGTTTGTTTTTGCTTCACAGGAGGGTACTGTTGTCGATTTTGACGCAAGCAGTGGAGCCATAACGATAGAACTTTCAAAGGAGTCGCTGAAAAAGACGCGAGGTACACTCGCTGTTGTTACTGTATCATGCCGGTTTCGAAACAAAGTTTGTTTTCCACTGTGCCCGGACTGTAGCCTTCGCTCTGCTTTTGGTAGCCTATGATAGTAGGTCACGAAAAAATGGCAGCTTTCGACTTCGCCTCGCAATTATTATCATCCTCAAAAAACCTGCGGACAGTTAGCTAGGGTGGGGCTAAGAAGGAAACCGCCAAAAGTGCTCAAACAAAGAAACCTTTTACACATTTCTAACTTCTTCTTCCGTCGTAGAGGTATCTTTGTAGCACGCCATGTCGAGCGATTTGGCTCTTCTGTGTTCCTCTGTTCTTTGCCTCCTTCCACTAGACATTTATTTAGCGAATTTTTTCTTTTTTTCCGTTAAGGTATTTTCATTGATTTTCTTTGTCAGGAACTATCACTTCTGGGGTTAATTTTCTTTCTTTTGATTGATTTTGCCTTCCATTTGCGTCACTTTAACGTCGCGTTTTTTGCAAAAAACGACGTTCAGTAGAGCAGTTTTCAATCGGAGTGTCGTAAAACCAAATCATAGTAATAAACTCTGGCCAATCACAAATTACACAAACAGTCCAATGAGCCTTGGACAAAGTAAATACAGATTGTTTACCAGTTACCCCCAAAAATCCGGAAATTTCGGATGGAATGTAAATGAATTGTGCCTCCCCGAACGGAAATTTTCTCGGGGAAACAGGATTTCTTGAAAGGTTGACCAAAATTCCCAAACGGAATTTCCAAATGGAAAATGTGCGTTCCATTTGCCAGTTTTTACTAGTCCTAGGCCTTTTGGCTTGGATCGCCTTATCTTCCGGAAAAAAGCCGTGGAAATGGAACGAGCACATCCCCGTGGAAATTTCCATTCGGGATTTGGCGCGTCCTATTTACTACAACTGTCGACCAACCGCTTTTTCCGAGTAAATGGTATACAACCGTAGCTTTACGCCAAGCGCGGGAAAACGTGTACGCGCCAGTGACGATTGGTTCTGATCTGTCTTTTAATTTGATAACAAAGTAGCGCGAGTTTTCTTGTTTAAACCAAAGAATACGCGAATTACTTTTGACTCGCAAGTCAGTGAAAACCCCTCTAGTCTGATAAATCAAATTGCTGCAGTCTAAGCAAAAACAGGCGACTGGCGCCAAGTGAGATAACACGCTTAATTGACTAAACCAAGTCACCATTGGTTTTGTTTTTTCTCCTGGCCCGGGGGTTGTTCGAAAGCCGGTTAAGTTATAAACCGAAGTGTTAATTTTTCTTGTATAGAAATGCGTTTCGTTGCTTATTTGTTGTGTAGTTTGAGAATACACAAGCTTAAAACTGAAGGGCAAACAATATAATCAGAAAGCCTCATCAAAAAGTTACAAAACTGAAATCAAAATTCTTGCTTATCCTGGGTTAGCTTAATCGGACTTTGAATAACCTGGTGCTAGTGGTACTGGATACGGCAGCGCCTTCGCTATCTGTTAGAACCCTTTGCACGTGTTTCAGTTTGAGGTCAGCGTGTAGGGAAACCAACTTAAACTCGTCCATAAAAGTTTATATTTTCCTTCACCCTTTGTAGGTGATGGAAATATTACAGGAAAGTTTGAGTTGGTTTATGACGAAAGTGAAGAAAACGCGGACAATTTGGAAGAAGACCCTGAGGTAGGAGGTATTCTTGTGTTTTGTCGACGTATATGTTGCAGGCCTTACAAGTGAAAATTTATTTCATATTGTGATTCCATATTTCGATATTTTTTTGTTTCTTCTGTTGACTTTAAGAGCTTGACTTTGTTTATCAAGAAACGCCATTTAAAAAGAGCTCGCTCTTCTAGATTGCTGCCAGACACTGGCTTACAGTACGGAATCACCATATGTCTTCTTGGTATATCTAATAAACTTCAAATCTTCAAAGTCTTATGTACCACAAATATCACATTAGTTTCTAAAGAAACTATGATATTCGTTGCAAGCAGCAGCTCGTTTAATCCGCTACATTCATACATACATACCTTTTATTAACGTGTCTGGTCGCGCTAGCGCCAACGGCACTAACTGGGGACGATTTTGTTATTAACTTGAAAACTCTACTCCAGATCTTAAGAAATGCTCAGAGCCACAAAATTGGCTCGTTATAGTCGACTTCATTAAACCGGGATTACACTTGTTTTGTCTCGTCTCCAGTATTGATAAAAAGATCGCGGTCTTTGGGAGCGAGATTGCTGCGATGGTTAAATTGACGGTAATAGTTTTCATCTGATTTCCTTGCAGGTTGTCGTGCCGTGGAACGCAATGATAGATCCTGTTTTAATCGAGTAGGATAATTAGAAAATTTTCTCTTCACATGACTATGGCGCCTAACAGAATTCAACCACTGATGTGGCGTTTCTTCACGGCCGAGCAAGAGAGCGATAACTAGTACAGGAAGGTACTAGCGAGGGAGAAAACTCTGTTACAGAAAACATCGGTTTATATATTGTTCTACTTGAAAGGCAGATTGAAACTTCGAGACATTTATCACTAAGGTTTCCGTGTTAACGGCAAACCACGTTATTCTGACATCGGTACGTGGAATAAACAGAAATTTAGGATAAAAAGCTTTCTTGTAAATCACTTACGGGAAAGCCTACTTCTTGGCGTTGAAAACTCGTGTTGAGAACTCCGAAAGTGACCGTGGAGATTAGTCACATGACTTCTAGCGATTTGCCGTTTGGCATTTCCGCTGAAAACCTTGGTGCCAAATGTCACTAGTAATGAAGACCCTCAAACTATGAACACTTGGCTTTTTTCTGCATTTGTTTGTTGACTACACAATTAGGGCTCATGACATCAGACTAAAAGATAAGAATGAGGACCAGGCCAAACGGCGAACTTAACATGAGACGAACTAAGCTGAGCGAATTAAGTTTATCAGTGATAAGTTCGATGTTTGATCTCTTTTTATGTAAAGATCTCTCATCGGATAATCTTAATGCTCTGAAAATGTTAAGTGTTCATGGTTCGTGCTTCCTCTTTGTAAACGCTGGGAAAATGTTGAATAGCCTAAACTGTTAGTGAAGATTTTAATAAGCGATTTTATTCTCTTAAACTCAAGGAAACAGTTACTATTTCCCAAAATGTGATTAGGACCGCAAAAATAGTTATTAAGAGGCTGTCCGCGTAAGAACCGACCACTCGATTTTCGGCCGAAGACAGAATTTCATGTCCATATGATAAACAAAAATAGTAATAATTTGGCTTGTAATGCTATTTTTCAGTATTTCTGGTGATGATTTTCGAGGACGGTCCAAAACCGTTTTATAAATCGTTCTTTTTCGAGTCAAATTTTGGTGTTGCGCTGAAGGCGCTGAAAAATTACGCTTTTACTCAATTACAATAAAACTTACGGATGATTTTATTTCATGTTTCGTGTTTTGATTAACGTTAAAATATTTGAAATCAGGCTTAAGAAAAATTAATTATGAATTTTTGAAAATGCACCACAAAGAGCTTTCGCAAAATTTAAGCGGACATGATGCTGGTTGAAGGAGTGTTTCTCAAATCTCAAAAGTATATCGTTATCTGGAGCCCTGACCAATATCCATGTTTAGTGCTAGGGCTAGTGTACCGGGAACAGGAAAAAAGACTTTGGACACTACTCTAGTAACCTTTTTGAACTACAGGGGTTCGACCAACACAGCTAATACTCAGCCGCGAAAGCGTGCGTGACACAATTTTGCACCGCTTATTGTTCCTAAGTTTCCCACTTAAATTTTTAAGTTTCCCGCATAAAATAATATTACCTTGAAGGAAATATTCTCAAAACGTGCTCTTTGCTCGGGATAAGGCGTGATAGCCTTAAATTCACCAAAGGTTCCTCCAAAAGTGGAAATAAAAGCTAAAACGAACGGCTGGCGCGTGAGTTGGGTCTGTTGCGTAAATAATTCCAAATGTTAGCAACGTTTTCAAAAAACTTAACCCTTCAAGAGGCATTTGAAACCGTTGCACGGATAAATGAAGAGCCAAAAAGAACGGAATTCGAAGGTGCATTTTGCAAAAAAATTCAAACTGCTGGTCGATAGATTTTCATTTTTTCGCTAAACGTAGAAACAATTAGCGCGAACGTGCCAGTACTTACCCAGGGTAAAACGATGAGCAGGACAAACCGTCAAATTCTTAACCTGTTCTCCTAAGAGCTCTACGAAACTCGCTCCTGCCAGGATTAGATACTTTTCACAAACATTTTCTGTTGACAAGTGCACGTGGTGATTTTGAATTTGCGAACTGATATCGCTTTTGCAGCTGTTTCGGGCTACACAATCTGTAAAAATCCACGACTACTTCCGCACTTACCACCTGTAACTGCAGAGAAGGAACACAATACCACCATTGCAAACACCAAAAATAACGCAAAGCGCAAAAACTAAATTCTTTATCTCTAGCGTAAACTGAGTGACGGCTGTCTACAATTTGCCTATAAAGTTAAATTTAGCACAAAGGGCTACGCTAAAATAGCAATTCGAAAAGAATATTGAACCAAAAAAGACAAAGCTTGAAAGCAATGTCTAAAATCGCAAAATACGTTGTAGTACCCGGGATTTGGTCTCGCTTTTTAACGTGCAATGCAAAATAAACGAAAAGTGGATAAGCTTTAAGGAGAGCTGCCAAAAAAACTTTTCCGCGTCTTGGCCGACTGAAATCTACATCCTCCTATCTGTACAACTGAGGTATATTCGCGGTACATCATTATTATTTTTGGCACTTAGTCATATAACTTAAGCTTTTACTTGTTAAATATATTAAATATGGTGTTTTTTCATAGTCCAAACCTTATGTTGACCCAATTTCAGCAACTGTTTTTACGCGGAACTCACCCGCCAGTCGCTCGTTTTAACCTTTTTTCCAATTTTGGAGGAATGTTTGGTGAATATGCCTTGTCCCGAGCAAAGAGCACGTTTTGAAAAGGCTATCTTTAAAACGGGGAACGGGGAATCGGGGAAT